ATCTTGGTCATTCAGAATATCTATTCTGAAGTGAATGGAAACTGTAGTCTAAATTTATCATACAATCAAATTATTTTTTAAATGAAGAGTCTTTTGGACAGCACCTGAAGAACCCATGAATTGGAAGTGAACTCCCACCATAGGGGAACAAATCAGGACAGGTATGCAACTACACCAAGTAGTAACCAGTACCAATGGTGGCATGCATTCCTACAGTGAGAAATACAACTCACTGTTGAAACCCTGGAGAGAGGAACAGGTGAAAGTCGAGAAGAAGCAGGAAGGGAAACAGGAGTGGGAGCAGGGGTAGGTGAAGGCTAGGACAACCTGGAAACCAAAAAAGAAATAGAGAAATGTTGTCTCACAGATTCCATCCATGACTCCAGAGACTCAAGGACATCTCCAAAATAAGATCTGCATAAAAAAGGTGCTCCATAAAGGTCACACAGATAGGTAATGGATAGGCACACCTGACTCAAAAATATGTCATTACCTAGGAAATCCCAGCAGCAGAGGAGCCATGTTTGGGGGGGCAAGGATGGAAGAGGATAAATGCACCAATGTGGAAAATATGGTGTGGGGCTTCTCCTAAAACCTCTCAGGGTATTAGTGGAGAACCTCAGTGCATGATAGACAGGTACATAAGGATTGAAGTTAGGGTCAGCTGGAGTCTGGAAAATTGGACCTGGGAGAACTTAACCGGAGAATCAGGGTTGACACTCCCACAACTGAATCAATGACTCCAAGTGTTGTGAGTCTAGAAAATGAAAGTCTGCTTAGTGATAAGCCGAAGCAAAAAGATCTGAAGATTGAGGGGTACAAGGCATGCTGGATTCTGCACGTAATAGTGCCTGGAAATGATCAGCATGGACATCGATATCTGGAAATGGGGGAAAACAAGGTGTTCTGATGAAGGAGCCATGTGCAAAAGGGAAGGTGCAGGTTCCTACGAGATGGAGAACACAGACAAACTGACACATGTGATTCCTCAACATAGAATGGGGGAGAAAAAAGGCTCTCTAAATCCTCTTCCAGAAATGGAAGATCTTGTCTAGGTCTGGGAGAAGCTAGGTTTCTCTGGTAGTGTTCAAGCTCCTGTCAAACTAAGGCTCAGACTCCCTCAGCCAATGTGTCGAATCTGAAGTCTGAGAAATAACATTCGAAATAGTAGTAGTTGTGACACGAAATCCCAAATTCTTGGTTCAAGAAGGGTCAGTTTACCAAATTAAATAGTGAAAAGAAAAAATAACAACAATAGAGTTAAGTTTATTTCAATACAAGTTGTAATTGAAATGATAAACTATTTCAAATTACTAATTAAAAAAAAAGAAGAAGAAATGAGCAAATGGGGGGGGGACAAGCAAAATTCAAGAGTGTCTGAACAAGATAGTGCCTAATGACTAAGTGAAGGTTAAGCAAAATAGTATAGAGGGAGTAACCTGCATCAGGAAAGTGAGTCGCACTCCTACTGGTGGAGGGTTGCCACATGCTTGTTTGCATGCAAAGATGCAGTAGAACCACGCTAAACATTGAGTAGGTGGGAGTTTCAAGGCTAGTGCCAAACAAAAAGTTTTTGCATATAGGGGGTAGCACTGAACAAGAGAAACTATTATGTCAGCATAGGTAAGATACCATATCGGAATGTAATTATTATCATAAACACAGATCTAAAATTTGACAGTAAATTAAAAAACATTTCAATTCACTAGTTATTTCTGCTAAGGACATACAATTCATCAATTTTATCTTATCTTTTATCCAACATCACTGGCATTTCTGCTAGTACCTTCTTAAAGTAACTGGTATAAACATTAGCAGTGGTCATAAAAAGTTTGTTCAAGCCTTGATATACATGTATATGTTGATTTACCTGATAGCAGGTCGAAATATCTGCCACACGATCCTAATAAAGTTGGTAGGGTGGACTAGATACAAGGTTTTAAGATTCTTTTTGTATCTAGAAAATAATAATAGAAAATTATATAAAAAAATTCTTTAATAATTATTTGAACAACTACTAAAATTTTAGGTTTCAGTTTTAGAACTAAATGGGATACATTTTCAACAAATAGTCAATCATAATGCAAATTACAGTTTGACTTCACCACAGTTGTTCCTCTTTTTTAAATTATTAAGGAAAAAAAACAAACAGATATAGAAAATTTCATATGCTACTTGATCTGACGGAGCCAGCCCTCCATTTAATGATGAAAGTGCAAGCCATGATAATGGAGTATTCGAGCAAATGCCCTGACCACTCGATAAAACACATAAGGTGCAGTGACCAGCCAGAATGACAATGCGCTAAACTGGTAAACCTATCCCCTGTGATCAAACCAAAGATACCATTTGTAATGTGGGGCAATGGGGATGTGGAGGTAACATTCTGAACCACCTATCTTGGTCATCCACAGATTTTGAGTGAATACCCACCACAGAGTGAGAGAAGACTCCATGGTAAAATGGGGAAGGTTTATGAAATGGTTGAGCCAAGATAAATCTATCAATAGATACCATTCACCATCTTATTGGGAACTACAAATAACCTGGAGAGGTTTGACTGACTGGTTCTATAGCATCAGGGAATAGAAAAGTCTATAACACCTTGGAGAGATGCTGAAATGTTGCAGGATCCCAAAGAGGAGGAAAAGACATTGGAAGTGACAATGGAGAAGGGGGGTAGGAGGAATGGGAAAGAGGGAGCTCGTAAGGTTCTATTGATCATGCAGTATCCATTAAAGGGAGCTTATGTGAGCACAACCTAAGGGTATAAGTACTTTCATGGAAGTCCACATCCCCAAAAGTGAAAGAACCTTGCGTGCAGGGAGATAGGTGAGGTAAGTTTCTTGGTGACCAAAAGCTCCACTGATCGCAGATGAAGGGGAGAAGGTTGGGTCTGACTGAGGTACGAGTTGATAGATACTCCTAAGTGGATGAAACCAACATGAGCCCCTTCTCTCAAATGCAACTGTGTGTGTGTGCTTCTGGAATCCCACACTGATGAGGTGGAAGGACCAGTGCAAAAGTTACCTAGATGAGCAGTCTTCAGAAAGCATCCAAAGAATGATGAATGTTCATGAAACATGACCTCTGTTGAGAGAGGAACACTCCCATGAGAAACTGCATCTCATCTGTACCAGGTATACTCTTTGTCCAATAAGGTAGTAAGTGTTACAAAATTGGGCAGAAATGAACTGAAGCACATACATGAATGTAGAAATGTCATTTGGTCCAGCTTAACGCCCAACACAAGCACCTGGGAATCAACCTCCAGGAGATGGTAGGATGGAGGGTTACCAACCAAATATAGTAATGGTGTGGAAAATGAAACAGATGTGCCCCACAGTGTAAAATGGCTAAGGCATGTCAGATTGTACTCAGTGGGTCAACTCCAGTCCAAAATCAGACAGCCTTGGGTATTTATCATCCATTCCATGGTAGGAGGAGGATCCCAACCATCTTCACCTCAAGCCTATGAAACAGAAGGGAAGACGTTTCATTCTGTCTGACTAGACAGGACACATATGCACAAACCCTGAATCAATACCAGCCAGTTGAAAACCCAACATCCAAACAATGGTAGGAAGGGAAGTGCCTTTGTGCAAAACCTCCCACTGGGCAACGGTAGGATAAGGGGTCCCAACAGAAAGGGTGAACTGCATTTTGGGGATCTACCTCCAGTTTATGAATCAGTGGGAGGATCGACACCATCTACACCAGCAGAACACCACTGCATTACTCTCTACTGAATGTGATTGAGCAAATTTAGGAGGAAGCCTTCATGGTCCACCATCCTAGCAGCTAGGAACTGGTAAGTAGTAAGGGCTCCCATATTCCACTCGAAGAGGAGGGATGGTGAAAGTGGAAGAAGTTATGAGGGAGTAAGTTGAAGGAGGGTGAGAAGTAGGAACCAGGGTTATGCTGGTCAGGCATGTGCAATGAAAAGTATCTGATACAGAGTGGACTGAATGATGGGGTTCACCCTGTGTAGGAGTTGGATCAGAGAATAGGCATATATGTATGAGTTGGATCAATCCTGACCGAGAGCATCTACAGCCAAAGCCTGTGGATGAGGTACCAGAGAACAGAACAGAAGTTGTGCTGTATGACAAATGCATTCAAATGAGAAGTGCCACATTATGTACACAGCTACTGGAAAACCTGAGGGTCGAGGTACCACTCCATGGGGAAGACCTGGTCTGGACAAGAAAGATTATCTGCAACCAGACTGAAGACACCTGGAATATGACATGCAATGAGATGTGTGTGAAAAGTATGGGCCCAAAAATGTAGTTCCAACATTCAGAAAAATAGCAAACATAAACAGCTGACACCCTGGTGATTGATGTATGAGATAACAGTGGAATTGTTGGAATGAAGCATGACCAGATTGCCCAAACTGAGGGAAGCAAAATATCTGAAGCTCGACGAATGGCCAGTAGTTCCAAGATGTTGATATGTAAAGTCAACTCAACTAGAGACCAATGATCTGAAATATCCTGATGCTCTAAACATGCCCCCAACCCCTTAGGGAAGCATCTGTGAACAGGTGCAACTCAAGATGAGGAGGCAGAAGAGGAACACCCATCATAGTGTTGTCTTTGTGTTGCCACCAGTCTCAAAAGGGTTAATAGAACACAGGCTGGCTAATAGAGATGGTCCACCACCAAGGTTGAATTTCCCAGCAATGATGCGAATGGTTTCAGAAGTGTATGGTTAATACCTGAAAACAAAAATCCCTGGAATAGGATCATCAAGGACAGTTGGAGCAAGGAAATATTGTGGAACAGACTAAGTGGAAGATGACCAAGTGAACCACCTATAAGGGTAGGAATGGGAACATGCCTGATGAAGGGCAAGAAGGTCAAGTACATTGATGTGCACTATGGTCTAGCTTCCAATTGTTGGAATTCCTGTTCTCATTGAGAAAAGTAATTTAATTACAGAGAGAAGCATTTAAGAAGGGAGACTTATACATGAAGAAGAATGAAGGGAAAACAGTAAGTAGTAGGGACATGGTCCAGTCACTGTGACAAGTCCTTGAAGAGAAGCTTACAACAGAAGACAAAGAACCCCAAGAAAGAAAACTGTGGATTCACAAAATTCACTGTAGGATATACATGAGGGCATGCCCCAGAGAAATGAGGGGTTTTAGGGAAACCAAAGTCTCTAAAATTGAAAGTACCTCTCATACAAGAAGAAAATGGGATGTGGAAAACAAGGTAACTATATATGCCATAGCTTGCAAGCGAAGATAATCGGTTGAACTTGATTGAGATGAGAGAGAGAAAGAAAGAAAACACCCAAAGTACTCAACACTGAGTGAGTATGAGAAAGGACTGATATCCTAAAATTAGATCCTCCCAACTATGCACCACAGTAAAAGAAGGTAGGCAGGAGAAGAGGAAACATCTGAGTATAGATAAATAGTCAAAGAAAAGGGATGCTAGCCCTGGATCATGAATATGGCAAGTGAAAGCCCTCACAACATCAACAAATACAAGAGGGGCTGACACAAAATCAAATGAAAGAGCAAGGAAGAGGAAGATGCAAAAATGATGAACAGGACAGAATATGGGTGTGGGAAAGGACTTAGGTCCTAATATAAGTCCACACACACACAATCAAGTAGCCATTGTAAAAGAAGGGGAATCACCTGAGAATGGGCTGACAGATATATAAATACTATTGTATGTGCGTGACAGTCACTGACAAGAAGAGTTACGAACAAGACATGTCAAAGTGGGGAGAAGAGAAAGAGGAAAGCCTGGAATCTGGAATGGGAAGGTTAGCAAAAAACCTGATTTAGATGAGGAATAGGAGAAAAGGGCAAAGTCTAGAAAGAGGAGAAACTCTGGGAAGAGAACAAAGACACAATTCACAAGTTATCAGTCCAGGTTTCCAGGGAGAAAAAAAAACACTGCAGACATTTGGGCAAAGAGATGGAGCCAGAGTAATAATAAATATACAGGAAAAAGGAAGGAATATGGGAAAGGATTTAACCTGGCCCAAAGAGTCCCAACAGCAGAGGAACAAATTACAAAGGAATAGAGCAGAAAAAGTGGCATAGGTCAAACAGAACAGGGAAGGAACAGCTACAGAGGCCCATATGAAGAGGAAGAAGCATCTCAAATAAAAGTCAAGGGTAGGAGAGAGAGGAACATACCTGAGAATGATATCCAGAAAAAGAATGGAAAGTTAACATCATGTTATGAATGACAAAGAACTACCTAAAAAAAAACAGTTAAGAGCATAGTCCAATAAATCATTTCCAACTGAGGAGAAAGAAATTTGGCCAGCAAGACAGAAATAGGAGGCCCAGGGAGTATTTGGTAATCCCCAACACACTGAACAATGGTTGCAATGATCCAGGCAACTAACAAGCTTTCTAACACCATAGTAGAATGAGGCCTAAGTGTAAACCACATCATGCACTCAGGCCTAAGTATAAATTGCCTTCTTTTGAAAATTCATAATAAAAAATTAAAGCTTTTTAAACAAAAGCGAACGAAAACAAAAATTAAAGTTGGTTAATGATGTAAATCTCAATAAATTGAACACAGACATGAAATTTAAACACATCTATACAATGAAATGTGAAAGAGAAGAATGAAGTTTCACAAGTAAGCACATACTTATTGTGCATGGAGGTGTGTCACCCTTTTATCAGTGGAGGCTTTTGTTGCATGATGACATCATCATACAGTAGTGCAAATCACATGAAATCAAGTGGGAGTTGTCTCGAGGTTAGTTGCATGCAAATCTCTTTGGTAGACATGCTGAGGAAGTTAACTAAAGTGTGTATGGAGGCAAGATATCATCTTGGAATCATCAAGTAAAAAAAAGTATTAGAAATATAAGCATTTCTCAATGTCATGGAACTTGTATTGATAAGTAACTTATCTATAAGCTTTCCTACTAGCAAATTTTAGTCTACAGAAATATATAATAAATTATATATAGTGTAAAAACAAGTTACTTGATGTATCTTACTACAAATAAGTGCAAGTTCTGTACTTTTAACTTGTATGTATAACATTTTTACTAATACACATCAAAATTATTTCCATATATATATATATGCATATAAAAAATATCAACAAGGCTCAAAATTAGTGGTGGCTATCTGGTAAAAAACAACAACATGAAACAGTAGGTTCTAGTTTAGCCAGTGGCCATCAAGGGGAACCAGCTTTTTTTTTTGTCAGTTAATAACCCAGGTAGGATTATGAATATTCAGATCAGTTGTGAAAAACCATGCAATTAAAATCAATTAATAAGTCTATTCTGATATCTAGTTGCATATCATTATCATACATATTTAAATACTGCTAAACTCTAAAACAGAAGCTAAAAAACAGTGCATTCAAGCAGGATCTAATATTTTTTTATTATATATTCTTTTTTCAATACAAGTTGAAAGTTAATATTTTCCCCACATTGAAAATATATTTTGATAGGTACTTACCTCCACTCATATAATAGCTTCTCTCGTTCAGTGAACAAATCTTTTCACTCACCACTAGCCTTAAAACTCCCACCTACTCAATGTTTAACATGATTCTACTGTATCTTCTCATGCATGGGTCATATGTGAAATGCCATGTCATCTTGTTTGTTGTATCACATTCAGAATTTTATTGAACTACTACTTCATGATAACTTTGGTATCAAACTGTAGATTATAATTCATATTTTAGTACCATATTTTACCCAATTTGTTAATTTAAAAGTAAATACTAGAAAAATGCTGATAAACATCATTTTTGTGTGTCACGTGGTATGTTGAATGCAGCACTGGTTCAAATTAGATGTTTGTGAAGTCTATAGTTTCATACGACTAAGAAACTCAAATTACAGATATTGACAAGCTAGAATATAAAATAAGAAGGTCTTATCTTTTCTATTTGCTAAGATATTGCTCATGTAATAAATCAAACACAGTAGCACCCGCTCACCTCTTTCCATTTTTGGAAATGCTCCCTTATATACACTTACTTCTATGTACAACATGAATAACCAATCGAAAGCTCAGAATGTCCCCCTAGTGGTTTACTCAACATTTCTAACATACCTAACACCATATCTTTCTTTTGAACCAAGATTTCAATGAGGTAGATTGTGTCTTTAGTCTGCTCGAAATTTCATATTTTTTAGACCCAAATACAGCTTAGTTATTAAGTTTGATAAATTATAGTAGAATTCTGTGGTATTGATGTATTAATTTATGATTTTTTAGTTGTTCAAAAGTATATATAAAATCTAAAAAAATATTTTGTTTCATATCCTCCACGTGCAAAA